TAGGCCTCTGGACAGGAGCCTAGAGCTCAGAGGAGGGTGGGGCTGGTGCGGGGAGACGGGCATTAAAGAATTGGTGTGGAGGAATAAGAGCAAGTGAACTGGTGGTGTTCCAAGGATTGGGTGCTGGGAATCCGAATCATGGACGCGGCAAAGTTACTGGTAACAGCAGTTCTAGGGGAAGGTGTGACGGGGACACGGGAACAGCTTGTTCGAGACCAGAAGTTGAGGAGATTGGAGGCCAGGGTTTTGGATGGGTCTGTGTACTCGGATGATGATATAAGAGAAGTGTGGAGGAATTAGTGAGAGGCAGAGTGAGTGAGGTGTCCACCTCCTCAGAGAATGAGGGGAGTGATCAGGGAGCCAGCACACACTTGCAGCAGGAGAGGTGTCGTGATAATCTGGCTGGGAGGAGGAACATGACGTGGAGGTGATAGGAAATGAGGAGGATAACCCCCCTTTCAGGCCCTGTGTTAATGGGTGGGCGAGAAAACACCTGCAGTACACCACACCTAAGGGCAGTGTGGTCCATGTCAGCACTTAGACACCATTGAGCATTAATTACAGTTTGAATTTGTGCCTTAGCAATAGCTCAAGTAGTTTGCCCAGCTAGTGCCTCTAGACTGGTAAGGAATAGATTCAGTCTTATTTTATTTTCTTACGTTTTTAAGATTTTATTTATTTATTTTTAGAGAGAGAGGAAAGGAGGGAGAAAGAAAGGGAAAGAAACATCAATGTGTGTCAATGTGTGGTTGCCTTGTGCACGCCCCCAAGTGGGGACTTGGTCCACAACCCAGGCATGTGCCCTGACTGGGCATCGAACCGGCGACCCTTTGTTTTGCAGGCCAGCACTCAATCCACTGAGCCACACCAGCCAGGGCTCAGTCCCGTTTTAGATGAGTGGTCAGAAAGGTCATTTCTCCCTCATCCCTCAGCTGAGTGAATGCAGCTCACTGGTTCCTTGCTTGTGCTCTTGACCTCATGGTCTGCCCTTCGTTCAGAGGCCAAAATGATAATCTGTCTAGAGAAGGAACGAACAGTTGAGCTGAGCATTGCTGTAATTTGCCTCCATTTTTTGCATAACAGTTATATCCATTAGTTAACGTGCATGGCAGGAGGAGCTCGGTTCAGACATCTCATAATTTTACCATTTACATGATCTGAGCACTTGGTCAGAATTGAGGTGAGCCACTTTAAGTAATAGTTATCCTTCCTAACACCTGACAGTAATAAAATGTTCATAGTATCTTGGAAACCACATGGTGTTTGAGCTGCCCTTGAGGAAGTATGTAATTATAGCGCTTTATTTACCCTCATCTAGTACATCATAGAGCAAACAAGAATTGAGGGATGACATGGCTTAGTGTTTGACTGTGTCCCTTAGCATACAGGAAGGACGTATGTAGATATTGGATCACTTGATTCTTTACACTTGGTTGTTAGTAAAATATTGGCACTGTGTTGTATATTATTTTACTTTTTTGTGATGATAAACTGCAGTAGTATTTATCTTCATTTTCTAGGTGAAGGAACAGATTCAGAGAGGTTGGGGGATTTGCTGATATCGTGGAACAAGTTCGTAAATTACCGTGTTGTGATACTAAATCCTGTGCTTTTCCACTGTGCTTACAGTTCTCACTTCTAGCTAACAAGAGGAATTTGAGGTCAACGATATTAGTGTAGACTATGATAAAAAGGGTTTGTTACGTTAGCATTTTCCTCTTTAGCCCACCTCTAAAATAGATTGCATTATGGCAGTGTGATTGTACAAACTCAGTACCTGTGTTTTAGCTTTTGACGTAAGACTGTTCTCTAGGTTAGGCTGATGTTTCCTAATTTCATGACCAAGGACTTAATTTTTCTATAGAGTACCCAGGCCTAATTTTTTTTTTCCTGCTAACCATCATTTATTTGTCAAACTTGGTTTATTACCTATTTTTCCACCTCTTAATTAGTGCTTTTAATCAGTGTTCGTTAGCCTGTATAGTTCACTTTATGTGATAAATGTATAATTGTTTCTTTCAGCTATTGGAATATTTGAAGTAGTTTTTGCATACCTTTAGGAGGCTTGAGGACCACCCCCCCCCCCCCCCATTAAGAACAATTGTAGATCTTACTGTTGAGTAGGATGTGCAGAGCAGTTAACAGTAAAGATGATGCTCATCCAACGCCTCCCAGTACAGTTTCCTCCTGATTCTCTCAGTAGAGCACTGTATCCTCGCACGTAGGATAGTTGGTTGTGGGATTACCGATACACTTACTTTCTGTGCTACTGCACACCTGTTGTGTTCCAGAGGCTCCCCACTAGATTTTGGGTATTCGAGGAGTAAATACCATGTAGTCTCTGTCTTTGAGAAGCTTGTGCTAGTGTCAGGGGGAATCGTATTGCTCTCTGAGTATGGTAGTGTGATGGGATTCACCAGGTGCAGCGGGAGCGCCGAGGAATGTGAGATGATAGGTGGTGGGTCAAAGAAACCGTTGCAGAGGGTGCGAGCCAGGCGGTCTCCGTCTCGTGGTTACAGGAGGGACTGTGGAATCCGACAATTCTGGTTTGGAATCCCAGTTCTGCTGTTGGAGAATCATATGATTTGGGGCAAGTGAAATCACTTCTCTAAACTACATTTTTCTCATCTGTAAAATGAGAATGATACCTACCTTCTCAGTTGTAATGATTTAGGAAGAAAGTAAAAAGGACTTAGCAGCACAGTGCCCCTTAGGTATGCAGTAGCTGCTTGCTAAGTCAAAGCTGCTTTCGTTACTATGGCCATTCCTGCAGCCGTGGCTGTGACTCTTACTTTGAAGGTGAGTAGGATTAGCTAGATAACAAAAGGGCGCAGGAGAAAGGGCTTTCTAGAGACGGGAAAGACTAGTAGAAGACAGGGTGTCCAGAGACAGTATTTGAGGAATAAAATAAGAGTAGCTACCTTAAAGATTATATTGAGATTAAAATGCATCATACATGTAAAGCACATGAGCACTCCAAAGTAGAGTCTCTGTTTTTAAATCACTTCATCCCCTGTATAATTTCTTACTTTTGGAAACAACCTGGTTCTTTTTGCATCTTTCTTTCTCTCTTGTTTTCTTCCGTGATTTCTTTTCTACTTCTTGATGTCTGTCTTTGAGGGCATTCCTCAGAATTTAGTTGTTTGTTCTCACTTCTCTGATCTTTTCTGTTGAAGAACTAGATGCTTTTCTGGCTTCCTCTGTCACTGTCACACAAATGATGTGGAGATGTACCAGTTGCCCTGACCTCTTTCCTAAGTTCCTCTTACTTGGATCTTACTGGTTTCCTAAAATTTCTGCTTGACATATACGCCTACTGTTCCGTAACTATTTGATATGTTCAGTTTCAGAAGAAAAAGCTAATGTATACATCTGACTGATGTATATTTGTCAGACAGAACAGGACATTTTAATCTAAAAGCTTAGATTATAACAGAATTTTTTAAAAAAAATGTAGCTTTAGAAATAATGTAGTGAGTATTTTATTATTTTCCTTTCTGCTTCAGACTAATGAAAATTTCATACCTAGTAAAACACTGCTTTGGAGTAAACCTTGTTCTGTCTTGACATTGATCTGTCTAAAATTTGACTTCAATCATATTTTTCAGTGCTTAAAATGGCTCACCACTGCCTAACTGGAAAAATGTCCTAACTTCTTAGGTCTTTACAGTTTGATTCCAACTCTCTTTTATTGTCTTTCTCCGCATCATATTTCTCTTTTATCAATTGAAAAAAAATGGAAATAAAAGTGTTTGTACTCAGAGGGGCCCCGGGCTCAGATCTGGCCCTGGAGTTTGGTCCCTGCCGGCTGCTGGAGCCGCAGGAGGAAAGCAGCGCCATGGTTGCCCGGGAGGCCTCGGTGTTGCTGCCAGATGGCTGGGCACTTAAAACCAGTTCTTGGTGTTTTATTGAGCACAGTTTCACTGACCATCAAATCAGAAAAGGCCATTCCGTGACCATAGTGGATCAAGACAAAAACAAATCCATGCTGTCGTCATGTCTGAACCACACAAAACCTGAGCATTGTCTAGGTCGCAAAATTTCCAGCCTCCTCTTCCCCAGAGTAAGGCCAGTGATGGCTTCTGCTTTGCCAGCTCCAGCTTTTGCCTCCCTCTCGGGGGTCTTCCTGCAGAGATTGGTTGGGAAACCGAGACTTAGAATTGTCTTGGCTTTCTGACAACACCCAAGCCACAGTGAACCTCTGCCTCTTTGGACTCCCCCAAAATCACCTAGCCAGGTCCCAGATCCTAACTGTCACTTCTGATGCCTTCTTACTGAGTCACCCCGCAGTTGCCCATGGTGTGCGTCCCTAATAAACCCAGCTTGTACAGCTGCAGGTGCGTTCCTGGTGTGGGGGCGGAGGGCATCACAGTAGCTACTCTGAGCCTTGTTTTTTCTCATGTGAACCGGGAATAGTAACATCTTTTTTGCAGAGTTGCTATGAAGATTAGATAGGAAGACAGGAAGCACCCAGCAGAGTCCTTGCACTTAGTAGACATTCAGCAAAAGCTTGTTTCTTGTCCTCTGGTAAGATAGTCCCGATCAGTTGTGGTCCCTTGAACAGGGCTTCCAAAAATCTTGTTTTAACCCTTTCTTACTCATGAGTGCCTGTTCTCACCCTTCAAGACTCAGTCCAGATACACTGCTTTTACCATTGACTCGACTGATAGTACTCTACCTTGTGGCATCCTTGTACTTAGCTTTTGTTATTAAATTCTTAATTTTTCATATAGTTATGCCTTGTTTGTTCAATTAAATTGTTCTTTAAGAATGAGGGTGTGTTTAAGGAAGGGCCTTTGAAACCAGTCAGTTACTTTTTGGGGACTAATTTCTTCACATTTATTTTAGAATCTTATACTCAGAAAATGCATAAACATGATCACAGTAAAACAGAAGGAAGAGAATATACCATCATTTTTTACCACCTCTAATATGGTGAAATCATGCAATTTGCTTAAACCAGATCCCTAGCTCAAACCTTTTTACATCTTCTTTCCTAGATAACACAATGGTAGGCGAAGAGATGTCTCTAAGAAAACGGCTGTCAAAGTCCAGTGAAAATCCTGAAGAAAAGGAAGACCAGGGAAACCCTACACAGCAGTCCCTAGAGACACCCACGAATGGTGAGGCTTCTCATTTATTTATTTATTTTTTTTGAGGTGAATTAATGAAATAGAGAACAAATTCAGCATCTTAGAACAGTGATTGCCATCTCTTTCACTCTTTTATAAATGGATATGCTGGTAGGCTCTGTAACGATGCAGAAGAGAAAAATACACTGATAAAGAGAATATAAAGGAACATTGATTTAATTGTTAGTCACAGCCACCTTTGATACTACTGGTGACACAGCACATCACAAAGCAGTAAGTTTGATGGATATAAGTGGAGTTTGCAATATATACTTTGATGTAGGATTTATAGTACCTAGAGTTTCATGTAATGAATAAATTACGATATAAGCTTTTTCTTCTTAATTAATTCAGTGAACATTTGGGAGTTATCTGCTATGTTTTAGACACAATTCATCCATTTACTCATTCCTCCAACCGCCGGACCTACCAGTAATTATTGGTGCCCTGCCAGGTGCTGAGACCTGTAGCAATGATCAGTACAGATGTGTTCGTCCTCATGGAGCTCTGAGTTAGGTGATTAAGAAACACTCCCTCTGCGATTAACATAATTAGATTATTATGAATAAGTGCTACTAATTATTCTTTTAATAGATGTAATAAACATAATGAGAATAATAACCAGGATAACTAACCTAGTTCAGTACAAGGTTATAAATCTTGGGAGAGATAGAGAGATTAGGAAGTTTTATTCTTACAGCCAAGTCTGTTTAGCACATGAATACAAAGATGTGTATGACATAGTGCTTGTTCAGGGTCAAGGTTGGTGCTTAAGATTGATAGACCTGTGAACACAGCTCCAACTGATGTCATCTATTGCATCAGCTATTTATTTTTGCAGTGACATTTGTGTAGGTTTCATTTCAAGGATTTGAAAGTCTGAGGCTTGTTTGGTTAACAAGTAGGGGTGGAACTTTGAGACAAGTTGTCTGACACGCTGGACTTCTTAAAGAAGTGATCTTTTCCTTTTTCTCCTTAAATTTAATTGTAAATATCAGCAGCTGGATCCCCAGAAAAGAAATGTTTCTGCTTGAATTGGCATAATGAAGTTTGTTGCGTGCTGTACTCTTAATTAGCTATTTATGAAACATTTGTGTTGCATATGGGCTAGTTTTAGTGTGATATAAAATGTGAAATCTGACCCAACATTAGATAGAAACATTCCTCTTTCATGATTTAGGGACTGGGTAATAAGCCATTTTGTCTTAGAGGCAGAAAAATTACTTTTTATTGAAACTTCCTGTCACCAGATACAATTTTCTCTTCATGTTCCAATTTTTAAAAATTTTTAAATAACTCTAATGTCTATGTATTTTCAGTACTCTTTATTGTTTTAGTTCATTAAGTTTTAATCATTCCAGGTTTTAGTGCAAATATTAACAATTGAATTTTTAGCTTAAATCAAGTATGACCTCCTCCTTGGTTTAATGTTAAGTAATGCTGATCTGAAAATAGAATGTGTTTGTCTGCTTACCTAATAAACATTTGTTCATTTTGGGGAATTGGCAGATGAGTGAGATGTGCCCTTTTAGTTTTAAGGGCTTAAAGGACACCAAGCCATGCCAGTTAGTATGGCCCACCAACCAGGACCTGGGACATCTGCACTATCTGGTAGCTTATAGGAAATGTCCCACCTCACATTTATTGAATAAAATTTCATTTTAATAACATTCCCAGGTGATTCATAACATGTTAAATTTTGAGACACATCTTAGTGGCAAATTTCTTTTGGCGTCTGTATTAGTCAGGGTCTTGCAGAGAATCAGAACCAGTAAGAGAGACGCAGGCACCTAGAAAGGCGCACTGTGAGGGATTGGGTCCGATGGGGGCCGGGGAGTCCCACAGTCTTCTGTCTGCGGTCTGGGGAGCCAGGGCAGCCCGTGGCGACCGACTAGCCCAAACCTTAAGTCCGAAGTCCTGAGATCCAGGACGACCATCTAACTCTTAGTGTGAAGGCTGTGAAACCTGAGCACCACTGTTGCGGGCAGTTCGAGCCAGAGAACCTGTCATCCTTTGCCCTGCATTCCGTTCAGGCCCTCCAGCGCTGGAGAGGGTGATTTTCACCGGGTCTACTGATTCAGCAGCTTCTGTCTTTTGGAAACGCCCTTGCAGACACCCCCCTACCAGGGCAGTCAGATTGACACAAAGTGAGCCATCGAAGGGTGCCCTGAGAATCACCTGTAGAATGAAAGGAAACCAAGAAACTGCAATTGCACCTCGGTCCCCTGCATAAATCTACTGCATCAGAACCCCAGGGGGAGGGTCCAGGAACGCTAAGTGTGGAAAAGCTTGCTGGACAGCCCGCCAGGCATTGCTGGCTGAGAATCACGCGTGTCAAGAACTCTGAGACTCAACTAGAACTGCCTTGTGATATATCACTTTGGCATAACCCCAAGGACTTTTACCTTAAACTCACTGTATGTAATTCTTGAAGTCTTACTCTGTGGTTTGTAATTCTGGTAACTTATGGGTAGGATGACTTGATGTCCCAGTTTGCTTAGGTTAGTCTCAGTTTTTGCCTGTGTCCAGTGTAATTCTTTATAGTGTTTCCTTGCATTCTGAGAAGTGCCCCAGTTGGTTTGATAAATTATATGCTTACCCAACCTTTGATTTATTGAATTAATAGTGACCATTATTGTGACTTTGCAGTATTTAGTTCACATTTTCACAAAAATATGCTTAACTTACCCAGTGCCTATTAGGTGAAATTATGGTTAATTGCCTTTCTTGTTATTTTGTTGCATTTGTTTGAAATAATATCAGCTTTTAAAATTTATTTATTATTTATTTATTTTAAAATACTTTACTTATTTATTTTTTAGAAATAGGGGAAGGGAGGGAGAGAAACATCCATCAGATGAACACCCCCAACCGGGAACCTGGCCTGCAGCCCAGGCGTGTGCCCCGACTGGGGATCTGGCTGATGGGCTGGTGCTCAGTGCCCTGAGCCACACCAGCCAGGGCTGAAATAATGCCAGTTCTGAAGATAGTTTGTTGTCTAAATTGAAACTGTTATTGCCTGATTTTATTTTATTTTTTGAAAATTTATTTATTTACTTACTTTTTAGAGAGGGGAAGAAAGAGAGGGAGAGAAACATCTATTGGCTGCCTCTCCCACATCCCCATCTGGGGACCTGGCCCACAATCCAGGCATGTGCCCTGACTAGGAATCAAACTGGTGACCTTTTGGTTTACAGGTCAGCACTCAGTCCACTGAGCCACACCAGCCAGGGCTATTACCTGATTTTAAAAGTAATGTGTGTTAATAAAAAAAGCTTGTATTGTGCTATAATGTATATGCAGTAAAATGTTCAATTAATTCACAATTTATTAAAAAAGGATAAAAAAGAAAACAGAAATGACTCAAAATTCTGTCATTGAGAAATAAGTGTATGTCCTTCCAGAGATATTTAATTTCCATAAATAACATTTTTTATATAAATAGATTATTTTACATGTTGTTTGGTAATTGGGGTCTTGAACACATTGTAGAAGTTGTTCCATTGTCAAGTTATAGGTGAGTGGCTATAAACTTTTTTATGCATGTCATGTACCAAATGTACTTGTTTTTCCAATGAATATTTAAGTTGTTTCTTTTTTTTTTCCTGCCATAAACAAATGGTAACTAATATCTTCACCTGTTTGTCAGATGCCTGTCAGAGGAATTAAGGGGTTAGAGTATGCTCCTTTAAGATACTCATTTTGATACGTAATGCTAGACTGCAGCATTCACCTTACAAAATTATCCTTATGTGTTCCTGCTGTTACTGTGTTTAATTTTTTCTTTTTTTAGTTGCCTGTTTAAATTTTAGAAATCTTCCTTACTATTTCTTTTCATGACTGTGTACCTGTCGTTTCTGCTCTTTCTCCCTGATTTGCATCCCTTGTCACACACTGTGGAATTGTTCGTTCTGGAAGTGAATAGAAATGAGGACCCTGCATACCTTGGTAGAAAAAGCTGAAATTGGGAATCTTATCTAGACATAGTACTGTGCCATTTACCAGTTCTGTCTTTATCCTAAATGTGGAAATGCTATTTGAGCAGAGACTGGTCTAAGTTCTTTTTCCTTCTTTTTCTCCTCCTTGTTTTCTTTTCTCCCCTTGATCCTCTGCTTTTTCCTCCCTTCCCCCCATTTGGCCCCTTACCTCTTACTCTTTCTTTTTTCCTTCCATTTCTTCTACTTTTTTAAGTTGATGTAATTTACAAATCATAAAATTCTCCATTTTAAGGTGTATAATTCACTGGTTGTCAGTGCATTTACAACATTTTATAGCCACCTGGGGAAAATGTCCTGAGGTGTCCCGGAGCCCTCCTGGAGGACGGTGCCTGGAGACCAAAGAAAGAGGCCGACAACTCAAATTAAACAAAGTAAGGGAAGCAGGACATAGCAGGTGTTGGACACCAGCAAGGAGGTGGACCTCTACTTCCTGCACGGAAGGCAGCTGGGAGCCTGACATAGGGAGCCTCGGGCAACACAGGTGGCTTGTGGCCACGTGGTTAAGAGCTGTACATTCCAAGACATGAGTGACTTAATGGGCCTACTTTGTAAGAACATTCCTTTCAGGTGACACAGGCTCACCCCTCTCTGGGAGAACTGGGGTCACTGAGAGCTGCTTGCTTTTTAAGATGGCATCATTCACGCCAAGCAACAGAAATCATTTGCCTAACAAATTATTGTCGTTGTTTAATTACAGAACATTTTTATCATCTCCAAAAGGAACCTCATGTCCCTTAACAGCCACTCTCCATGCTGGCCTTCTCCCAGCCCTGCAACTATTCATGTGTTTCCTGTCACTTTGAATCTGCCTGTTCTGGGCATTTTATATGATGGGAATCATAGAATGTGTGGTCTTCTGTGTCTGGCTTCTTTCACAAAGCATAATGCTTTCCATGCTTTAGCGTGTATCACTTCAGTATTTCACTGTATGGATATACTTGCTACATTTTGTTTACCTATTACTTATCATATGGTTGTTTGGGGTGTTTACAG